GGAAAAGCTTGAGGGCCGAGGGCAGGCAAGGGCTGGACTGCGAAGGGCTTGTACATCCTTCCAGAAAGCTTACACTTGGTCTAGCAATGGGAGGGTACTTTTTGGTTTTGCTTTTGTTTTTTTAAACAGGGTCTCCCTCTGCCACCCAGGCTGGAACACAGTTGCTTGATCGTAGCTCACTGCAGTCTCAAACTCCTGGACTCAAAGGATCCTTCCACCTGAGCCTCCTCAGTAACTGGGACTACAGGTGTGTGCCACCATGCTGGGCTCATTTTTTAAATATTTTGTAGAGATGGGGGGCATCTCGCTATGTAGCCCAGGTTGTCTTGAACTCCTGGCCTCAAGCAATCCTCCTGCCTCGGCCTCCCAAAGTCCTGAGATTACAGGTGTGAGCCACTGTGCCTGGCTGCCCCCAAGGGCTTTGTAAAAAAAGTGATAGGATCACACTCAGCTTCCAAAGCTGGCTCTGCATCAATGTGGAGGACAGACTGAGGGAGTTGACCTGGAGTCAGCACCTCTCAGGACATTGTTGCTTGTGCCCAAAGTGATGCTGGCGCACCAGGGTGTAAGGATGGGGGCAGAGCCTGGACAGCCAGAAAGCAGGCTTCAGGGCATGATGACAGATGGACAACTTGGCACAAGAGAAGAGAGAAAGTTGGGTAACTTTATGTTTCTGGCTGTAGTGACCACGTGGGGGGCAGTGCCAGCCACTGCGACCACCCTGGAGGATGCACGTTTAGGGACATGGTAGGGATGCTTACTTATTCATTCCTTGTTTAACACGTTTTACGGAATGTCGCCTGTATGTTAGGAGCTATTCTAGGGCAGGGGATACAGCAGGAAACTAAAAAAAGAAAAAAAAAGTCCTGAACATGCTTTGTGATAGAAGAGGCAGATCATACCCCAAACAGGTGAGATTGTTAGTCTGTCAGGAGGTGAAGGGTATTATGGAGAACAGTAGTGCTGGGAAAAGCGGGTGGGCTGGAGTAGACAGTGTAATTTTCAGTAAGGTGTTCAGAGGTCGTCTCACCAAAGAGATGACAAAGGGACTGAAAGAGACTGGAGCAGGCCTGGAGGCTCCAGGAACACAGGAGGAGGCCAGGAAGCCAGGGAGGGAAATAGGACAGAGAAGTTGCAGCCTGGGTGGGGGCATTTGGAGGTCACCATGCAGATGGACTGATGGGGGCCTTTATTCTGAGGAAGGAGCCACCAGAGGCTTTTGAGCACAGCAGGACACGATATGACTTGTTTTAAAAGGATCACTGGAGCTGCGGATTGTAAGGGGAGCAAAAGCACTTGACCTTAAGAATGCCAACAAGGAGAGAGTGAGCAGAGAATGAGGAGGAGCAGGAGGAAGACCCGGGAGAGAGGAGGCAGGAAGCCAAGGAAGGCGGGGTACTTTCCAGGAGGAGGGTGTCCCCCCACCCTTACCCCACCCCCAACTCCCCGCAAAGCCTTAGGCTCCCAAGATGTCAAGTGGGAGGAGCACTGAGCAGTGACCCTGGCTGCATCCACCAGGACTCCCTGGAGACCTTGGTAAGAGCACTTGGTGGAGTTGGGCACAGAAGCCAGACCAGCCTGGGTTGAGAGTGTCACTTAATTCTACCAAGCCCCAATGATCTGTACATTAATCCTGGAGTTAGGAAGACCCTCAAGGGAAAACAAGAAGTCCTGGTATGAGGCCCTTTGAGAGTCTCTGCTGCATCCACCTCACTTAGCCGGAAATGTGGACAGAGCGACTTGGACGAGTTGCTCCCAGCCAAGCATTCTTCCCATGTGTATTAGCATGTTAGCTGCCATATGAATAAGCCCCCAAGTTTGAGAGTTCAGTACAATGATGATTTAGTTTTGCTTATGTAGCAATCTAATGCAAGTACCTGGAGAATTGGCATTTTCTTTCCACATGGAAATTCAAGGATACAGGTCCCCTTTCATCTTGTGGTTACACCATCTACAGTGGTTCTTTACTTTTTTTTTTGAGACAGAGCCTTGCTCTTTTGCCCAGGCTCAAGTACAGTGGCATCATCTCAGCTCATTGCAACCTCTGCCTCCTGGATTCAAGCAGTTATCCCTGCCTCAGCCTCCCGAGTAGCTGGGATTATAGGCATGCGCCACCACGCCTGACTAATTTTTTGTCTTTTTAGTAGAGATGAGGTTTTACCATGTTGGCCAGGCTGATCTCTAACTCCTGACCTCAGGTGGATCACCTGGTCAGGACACAGTTTGCATACTTTTAAGGAGTTCACAGAATCTGTGAATCTACCTATAGAATCCCAAGGGGTCTATAGATCCAGGTGAAAACCCCTGTTCCGGGCCTCAGAGATGTCCGTGTTAGCTGGTAAATGGGGAAGAAGGGGCAGAAAAGGCACAGGTACTTTTTGAAGGCCCTGGGCTCTGCCTGGAACACATCACCTCTGCTCACATTTCAGTAGCTACATGACCCAGCCTAGGTGTAAGAGGAGACTGGAAGTATCGTCTATGACAGGACAGCCCAACACTGTGGAAGACCCTGGGTTTTGGTGGCAGCTCACCCCAGCTTGCTGCCCGTGGCATATCTGTGGAGATGCGCCAACAAGAGACTGCTTCTCACAAAGACGCTTTTCGAGTTTAATGCTCTCGTGGGCCATCTGCTGCCTCCCATCCAGCTGTGCTCATGCTGTTCCTTTTTCTTGGAGTCCTGCTTAAGGGCCACCCTTCCAGGACGGTTCCTCCAAGCTCATTTAAGCCATCTCTGGTCCCTTTGAGCTAACAGCACCCACCCTTCATTTAGTCTTGTCCTGAGGCAGCTCTCGTTGGTTGAAACGGGTCTAATGTTTTTGTCCTGCTAGACTATGTCTCACATACTCCGAGCATGCTTGATTTCTCCCCCTGCCCCTTGCCACCAGCACACAGCCCTCCAAGATCTGGGCAGAACAGACAGTGTGTGGCCATTCACACATGGGGATCTCAGAGCAACAGGCCAGGGCAGGGATGCCACCCTTCCTGGATTGAAGAGGAAATGGGAGGCTCCCAAGAGTTGAAGGAAGTGACCTGGCCTTGCAGGCTGTGACAGGGCTTGACCTGGTTGTGGGTCTTCCAACTCTAAAGCTAGTGTCCTTTCCACCCAAACAAGAGCTGCATACACCTTCAGCAGCAGAGAGACCAGGGCATGCCTGCCTGGCACCATGGGCAGCCCTCTGTGCTTGAGCTGAGACTTGGAGGTCCAGGAGCAACTATAGACCCTTTGCTACCTGGCAATGCCTGGTGCATGGGAGGAGCTCTGCAAATGTGTGTGATGGGTGAGTTTATGCATGGAGAAAAGAGAGGAGGGTGCTCGCCCACTCCCTAGTACTCAGGATTTTTACTCTTCCCTCAAGAATCAACTGCTCCCTAATATAGCGGCGGGGAGATGTAGGCATGAGGAAGAGATAGCCATAGTGAAAAGCAACACAGGGAAGTCAGCCTGCTTGGTCCCACACACTTCTCACCGCTGGATGCAATGGAGGCTGAACTCAAAAGGAGCCCTGATCGCAAAGGAGTTCACATTCCAGGAGAGAAGTCAGCCCCATAGAGCCAGAGCGTAGGCAAGTGGTGGTGTCCAACTCAGCCCTGGGCGCTGGGCTTCTATGTTCTGAATTAATTAAACTGCAGATGCCAGAGCACTTGGATTTCCCTTAATTAAAATATCACAGAATTATCATTGTCTAATTTCATGTTCATGAGGCCCTGGTAAAGGCTGAGAAGGAGGAAATTCATTAGAGGAGACTTTTACTGTCGCTGGATTTGCTTGTTCTTATTCATTTCTCCTGCACCATCCATCCCTGGAGGAGAGGGCAGGGCAGTGTTTTCAAAAAAGCTGGAATTAATTTCACCATAAAACCTGAAGGAAAAAAAAAATCCACCTTAACTAAAAACTAGCCTTATTTGCATTTAAAAGGAAAAGCAGATACATTTGGGATTGAACAACGGGCTATGGAATTGTCTTCCTCAAGCCCAGCTGACAACAGAAGACAGAGATTCAGGCTGTCCACTGCTTACAGCAACAAGTTCAACCTTCTCTGTTGGCATTTAGGGGTGTGGCCCAAAATGACCACCCGTCCACCGCCACAGCTCTGAGCAGCAGCAACTGGCCATTCCTCCCTGTTCACAAACTACACTGCATTTCTCTACCCTGGTTTCTTTTTGCATGCCGGTTCCTTAGCCTGGAATCCCCCATGCTCACTACTGCCAGTTCCAGTGCCTGCCTCCTCTTCTGGGAAGTCTTCCTTGATCTCCCTCTGCTCTAAGCACAAAGCAGACACCTTATGCCGCCAGGGAGAGTGACCTTATCCCACCCATGCCTCCACTGGAGTCTGAGTTCAGGACCTGATTCTACCCACTTTCATATGGGAAGAATCCGTATGATTTTCAGCACCTCATACCCGGCTGGCACGTGGAGAATGCTACTCAATGTGTGGGAGGGGACAGAGCGCATGTCTCAGCAAGTGAATTAGGTACTAGAATGCTTATACGTTAGGACACACATGGTCAAAGGTGGTCACGTAAGATGATTAGGGCTGGTTAAAAATTGCAGGCAAGGTGAACGGTGGGGCTGTGATCATAGCCCAGGCGTGTGAGGGAAGGAGGGTGTGGACTACATAGCTGAAGTGGGCATACAGAAGAAAGGTGTGAGGGATGATAAAGGAGTATCAGTGGGACCTGCACCCACCCATACAGCATTCCTAGGACAAAGGCACCACAAAGACTGTCCTTAAACACATTTATTTTCAGGGTGCAGAGGTCGTCACATCATGTCATCTACAAAAACAGTAGAAAAATACACGTTTGGTGTGGGGAGGGGAGGGGAGTTGTGATTATATGATAACAGCTGCTGCACACATGCTCTCTGAGCTTCTGAAGAAGTCTCTGGGCACTCACATTTGAAAAACCATTAGGTTGGAACACTCATGTTAATGCGCCTTTTTGATTTTGGTGAAAATTTCAGACAGCATGACATTAATTATTTATTTGTCTTGGCACAGAATTAGGATGCTAAAGGCAGCCCCATACAGTCTTGATGCTCAGTACTTCCACCATGGGCTCTGTCCACCCTGCTCTCTGCGTCGAGATCCAGCCCTTCAATTTTCACTAGGCAAATTTGAGGTGAGTCAACTGAGTCTGCAAAATGTGCTTATTAGCAGGTGTGGGACCTTCTTCAGAGCCATAGCATCCCTATTCCTTCTGATGTCATTTCACTAAGGGTCTGACCAAATCATGTCGCAACCATTCAGGACGTGGGAGAATTAACTGCAGGCCCTCAGATGTGGAAATAAGTCACAGTGCATGGAGAAGGGAGGGGCGGGAGGTGCTGAGTGAGGAGGGGATGTGAGCAGGTCCCCCTGGCAGCCCCAAACCCCAGCAGACAAGAGCAGCATCCCGTGCCATCCATTTCAATTCTGAGCTCTTGTTTTCAAAGAGAGGTTCCGATGTTTTAAAGTTTGTAAACCACTCATCTAGTTTCATTCCCTTTTTATTCAAATGAGGACACTGAGGCTCAGAAAGTGAAGGAGATTTGCTGGGGTCACACAGCAAGCCAGGGGTTAATATGCAAATGGATCTCATGTTTCCAGAACCCTAGGCCAGTCTCCTCTGCCACATAGTACAGAGGGTGATGCCATCCAGTATTTTAGACATGAAATGGCTGGAATGGCAGGCTTACGGGCAGAAAGTTCACTTCCAACAAGGACTCTAAAATGTAATGCACAATGTGAGTAGCATGAGAGTGTGCCCTAAAAGTTGGGATGAGCCTTGATAAGAGTCCCTGAAGCCTGTGCAATTGGCAGCATCTACCTTTACATAGTTTTGAGATGACCCCGAGAAGCAGCACCATGGAGTAGTAAGGGGACCAAGGAGGGCCAGGTGCCCTGAGCTCTGCTCCTCTTTCAGAGGCCTTCAGACCTTGGCAAGCAGCTTTTCCTATCAGAGCCTGGTTCCTTCATCTGCAAAAGGCAGGGACATTAACACCTGTCTTGCCCCCTCTCAGGGTTGGGATCATGCTTTATGAACTTAAAGAACTGTGCATAGTAAAGGATCTCAATTCTTATTTTAAAAATTGTAATCACCTAATGATCTATTTTTTTAAAGACAAGATAGCAAATACTCTTTCTTTTTTCATTAAAAAAGAAAAAGGAGAGCCTTATTCTTGGGTGAGGTCAAAATGTCTGTAAGTAAAATATATTCTACTACAATCTAGTTCCACAGTCTGGAAATAACACCTGACCCCCTTTTTACAATTTGATCTTCAGAAGCCTGGTGTCCACTGCTTCTAACCACTTGTTTAAAGAATGCTAGGCTAGGCCAGGCACAGTGGCAGATGCCTGTGATCCCAGCACTTTGGGAGGCCAAGACAGGAGGATCATTTGAGTACAGGAGTTTGAGACCAGCCTGGGCAACACAGGGAGATTCTGTCTCTCCAAAATAAAAAAGCTGGGCATAGTGGGGCATGCCTGTGGTCCCAGGCATGGGACCTCCACTCAGGAGGCTGAGGTGGGAGGATCATGTGAGCCCCGCAGATGGAGTGAGCCAATGGTGACACCACTGCACTCCAGCCTGGGTGATACAGTGAGCTCCTGTCTCAAAAGAAAATTTTTAAAAAGAGACTGCTAGGCTAACAAATGGATGCTCTGGTCTCCAAAGACCCAGCCAAGGAGCTCCCGAGTCCGGTAAAGCATCCCATCTAAAACTAAATCTCTTTTTTTTTTTTTTTTTGAGACGGAGTTTTGCTCATATTACCCAGGCTGGAGTGCAATGGCGCGACCTCGGCTCACCGCAACCTCCGCCTCCTGGGCTCAGGCAATTCTCCTGCCTCAGCCTCCTTGAGTAGCTGGGGTTACAGGCACACGCCATCATGCCCAGCTAGTTTTTTGTATTTTTAGCAGAGACGGGGTTTCACCATGTTGACTAGGATGGTCTCGATCTCTCGACCTCGTGATCCACCCGCCTCGGCCTCCCAAAGTGCTGGGATTACAGGCTTGAGCCACCGCACCTGGCCAACTAAATCTCTTTAAAAGGGAAAAGGGTAGGAATAGGAGAGCTACAGCCAGCTATCCATGCCCTGTTATAAAGCAATGGAATTTGTTTCTGAGGAAATATCAGACCACACTTCCTGTATTTTTCCCAAAGGACCATCTTACTCTAGGACAGCAGGGCTAAAAGGGACACTGGTAACATCCAGTTAGAACGCCATACTCACAGATGAAGAAACCAGGGCCCAGGTCACACAACAAGTTACAGTCAGAAAATAGCTGGGACCCTCGTCCCTCCTTCTACAACACACACTAAGTCACAGAGCACCACTAATAGGTCGTTGACAAATGAGGTAAAGAGTCACAGCTGAAATAAGCCCTTTAGAAATTGCAAACATGCCATTCTAAGATCTCCCTGGAAGAGATTAATTAAAAAAAGACTTCTCACAGAGCAATTCATTTCAAAAATATAAAAAAGCCACATGCAAATCCGTTTCTCACTGTTTGCCCTGCTAAAAACTACATCTGCATACAAATCTAGTTTGCATCTAATTTTTAAAAACATACAAAAGGGGTCATACACAAACACAGGTTTTCCAACTCTTCACAAAGCACAAAGATCCATTATTTGACCTTTCCATCATCCCATGAGCCATGTTTCTAAGACCCTAGGAAGAAAAGGAGAAAAAGAATTAGAGAAAGTAAACCCGCTCTGTTACAATCAACTATGTGTTATGTGGAACGTAGGGGAAATGATCCTTCACTTCAAATCTGTCCCCAGCAAGAACTGGTGCCAGTGGAGAGCGAAGGGCCCTGTGGAGGCCCAAGAAGTACTTTTAACACCACAAGGTGGATGTTTCAGAGTGGCAGACTCCAGCTTAATAAGAGGAAGACCTTTTCAACCACTGGGAAATCCACAGATGGCTATCAGTGGTAGTGAGCTCGGTGTGCCTGGAGGTATGCAAGCCAGAGCTGACAATACTGTGTGTAGCAGAAGGAACTCAAGACCCAGGCAGCAGTGATGGTCTTAAAATTCCTCAATTTTTGATGGTATCCTTTTGATGTATTGACACCCCAGAATCATTTCTGCCTCAAAATATATGTATATTTAAAAATTATATATATTTAAAACTGGAAACATATCTATAAAAAACAAGTCGTATTACCAGGAAGACAATTTTAAGACCCAATCTCGTAATTCTTTGTTGAATTCCTATTTCAGTTTTACATTTTCATAGTTTTCTCCTCATTTCTGGGACCTCTAACTATTTACGTATACACCTATGCTTCAACCCTAATGCCACTTCCTCCATGGTTCTTCCTTTATTTTCCCCAGTTCTAAGCTGCTTTTCCTACCTCATCATCTCCTCCCATTCCCTTAACATCACATTCCTTGTATTATAATGATGTCCACTTTTTGTTTTTCTGTGCGTCCCCTGCAGACCAGAAGTAAGGCCTTGCACACGGAAGGCTGCGACAGTAGTGGTTAAAAGAATAATATGATTAAAACCGTGGCAAAATCCTCCTGCTTTCAAGAAACCCTATCAGACTTGTTTCCAGTTTTTCCTGTTCTATTAAGCACCTGTTGACTGGCCTTGGTGATGGTGCCTGTTCACCACTGCTCGCCCGTTCCTGTAAGAGAATCATGCAATCCCTGCACTTTGGCCTCTGGTGAGTGACATGCACATCCTCCCACACCATCCCCACTGGGACCACGCCTCCTCTCCAACCCAGACCTATTGATTGGTCTGTGAGCAGGCAGGCCACACATCATATCTGAGCAGAAACTTTAAATGCAGTGGTGTGTGCAGCTTGGCCACGGAACGGACATGTTCCACACTGGAGCTGTTCCTCCAGCAGGGTCCTGAATGAGGGGACACATGGGGCAGGGCCACAGCCAGCTCACAGCTATAACGTGGAACATGAGCAAGTGATCAGCATCTGTGGCTGTGATCCAGCAAGGTTTTGGGATTTTTATGGAGCAAAAACTGGCTTATAAAGTGATTCCTTTCCAGAGTTCCCAGTTCACCTGTAGGCAGGGAACAGATACAACCCCAGCTGTCACCTGTGTGACTACAAGGACTAGGAGACCCTGGCCAGAGGGATGCCCCCACCCTCAAGGAGATGTGCTGCTAAGTGTTGAGGACAGGAAGGCAAGGCCTGAGCTCCGGGAAGGAAGCTCAGGCATCCTGAACAAAAGGAAGCTCAGGCATCTCCTTTGCGGGAATATTTTCACATGGATGCTATCACAGTGACACCATCTGCTACCTCTCTCAGTGCTCTTTCTAAAAGAACATGGAGGAAATCTTCCCTCCAGCCTCAGAAACAGGAAATACATCTGGTCTTTTTATCTCATGGACACACATCGTGTTCATGGCTCTTGCCTTTGCATGCTAGGAAGCTCAGAGGGAGATATGTGCAGAATATACCAGATTCTATTGCTCATCTTAGTACATTCCTATTCTTCTTTTGCTCTCTCCCTGGTTTCCTCCATTTATGTATTTTTCTTCTTTTTAATTAGAGGTCTTATAAGCCACCTCAAATATCTCATAATATGGATGTAAAATACTGAAAATAACTTAGAACATGTACGTTTCTCCATCACATGCGGTCATCGGGAGCCGGGAAGCGGAAGCTCCTATATGTACTCAGATCTAGAACCGTCACCGTGCTGTGGGACTCAGCCTCTCCCACTACGTTGGCTGCATGGCACTGGTACACTCCCTCATCCTCCTTTCTCAAGGGGTTGATCTAGAAATACAACAGGCAAGTTTATACAGTTATATAAGGTACAGCAAAATGACTTCCTTAGTTAGTTCTTAATGCTAAGCTTGCACACTTCCTCCTTTTCAGAATAAGGTAAAACGTGCTCTATTTCTCTCCTTGCCTTGGCTGCCAAGGAGCACGGAGCTAAATTTCCTTCCCAGGGACCCTCTTGAAAGGCACTTTCCCTATTGTGGCTCTCATCTCAATGATTCCTTTGCATACCGGCCTTTTACTGTGAGCTACCTGGACTTTTTATTAAAGGTGCAAGGTATAGATTATTTGGAAAATACCTCAAGTTAAAAGAAGAACAAAAATCTGATCAAAGAATGATCCACAAAGTATTCCCTATAGAGGCAGCCTCTACAAAATACCACCAAAGATAACCTCTTTTCCCTGTCCTTTCTCATACGAAATGGGGGAATGTGCTTGATTTGAAAAAAACACAGACCAACTGCAATCCCCATTTCTCAGCTGCGTGCAGAAGAGTCACCAAGCCTCCCAGAGCTGTGGGTGGAATGAGGAGGTCGTCCTTAGGGAGCACCCCGAGAATGCTAATGGCCACGTCCACAACCAGCTCACTTCTCTTTTGCTTTCTCTTGTTACAACCAACAGCTTCCATCAATTACAAATCACGCTATGGACCATGCAGCGGGATGTGCACACCAGCTCGTTTTAAACTCATGCCAATCGTGGGGAAAGGGTGAGTATTATGATCTTCTTTTTACAGGAGACTCACAGGTAAGTCACAGACTGCCAGGGCCACAATGGCCCTCCGAAGTCATTCAGTTTGAAGCCCTCTTTTGACAACAGTAGAAATGGAGGCTCAGAAAGGTACAGTGACTGACCCAACATGGACCACCTAGCTCCTCATTCCATCACTCTTTCAAACATGTGGCATTCTTCATCTTAGCAAAAATGCTGTGAGTGGCAGGAAAGAGCTCTGGAGGAGGACTCGAACATGCCCCCTTCCTCCCTTACCAGCGGGTGGCTGAAGCAAGTGTACTAGTTTCCTTGGGCTGCTGTAACAAATTGCCACAAGCTTAGTGCCTTAAAACAAACACATTTATTATCTGCAGTTCTGCAAGTCAGAAGCCCAAGAGGGGCTAAAATCAGTGGGCTACAGTCAAGGTGCCAGCAGGGCTGCATTCTTTCTGAAGGCTCTCAGAAGACTTGTTTTCTTCCCTTCTCCAGCTCCTAGTGGATGCTGGCACTCCTTGGCTGTGGCCCCTTTTAACGTCTTCAAAGCCAGCAATGGTGGGTCAAGTCCTCCCAACAAATCACTTCAGTCTGCCTCTGACTCTTCTGCTTCCCTCTTCCACACTTAAAGACCCACCTTTAAATTGGCCCGCCCAGATAATCCAGGCTAATTTCCTTTTTTTTGTTTTTTGTTTTTTTTGTGTGTGTGTGGTTTTTTGCTTTTTTGAGATAGAGTCTTCCTCTGTCGCCCAGGCTGGAGTGCAGTGGCACGATCTCAGCTCACTGCAACCTCCGCCTCCCAGGTTCAAGTGATTCTTCTGCCTCACCCTCCCAAGTAGCTGGGATTACAAGTGCCAACCATCATGCCCGGCTGATTTTTGTATTTTTAGTAGAGACCGGGTTTTGCTATGTTGGCCATGCTGGTCTTGAACTCCTAACCTCAGGTGATCCGCCCACCTCGGCTTCCCAAAGTGCTGGGATTACAGGGGTGAGCCGCTGTGCCCAGCCTAATCTCCTTACCTTAAAGTCAGCTGTTTGGCAACCATGACCTCCCTCCCACCGACTTGCCATGTAACATTGTAGGGTTCTGGGGGTGAGGACATGGACATCCCTGTGGGGCCATCACTCTGCCCCCGGCAGCAGATCACGTATGTTCCTAGCAGATCTGCAACCTGCCCTGCTTGCCTCACAGTTACTGGAGGGGCCAGTGAGAAATGGGTAAGAATAGCTTTGCAACGTGTAACATGTTGTTGAAATATAAAGGATGGCTTATAAGGGTCAGTCAATAATATCCAATAATCCTAAACACTCACCAAAATCCAGGCTGTGGTCTCATGGTCGGAAGGGCCACCTCGCACCTGGACAGCTACATTGACGTGGTCCCCAGGCAGCTCCTCCAGCGCTTGGGTGCCCTCAGGGGACTGCGTGACCTACAGGGGACATAAACACCAGGAGGGGGCTTAGAAAAAGCATTTCTGGATAAAAACCATCCCACAGGCTTCGTTGTCCTCCTCCTTCGTCCTCCTCCCATTGACTCAAAGACTGAAACCGTAGCACTGCTCATTCCTATGCAAATGACATCAGCCATTTTTTAAGCCTACTTGTACATACAGATAGCACGCTCTGCTGGACAGCAAAGACACGAACATCACCACTATCCCACAGAAGGATTCAGGATTTCAACACCCGTCTGAGGGCTGTTGACATTAAGGGGACAACATATACTGTGATCCTTGCCAGTCTCTGAAAAACTGGTCTTTAGGAAGATTTGGTTTTAGAATAGAACTGAGTATTCTGCTACCAGCCAGGTCTGTCTAAAACACAGCCCTGAAGTGAAGTAGGACTCTCTCACACACACACAGCCACTGCAGCTGATGTAGATAGGGTAACAGCAGAGCTTTCTGGGTCCCTAAGTGGCCAAGGGTGTCAATGGCACAGGAAGGGTTGCAATGTCCCCTTCTAAGGGAATAGCTTTGGGGTAGAAGTTTAGAGGCAGAGGAGTGGTACAGAAGGTATCTTTTCCTCATCCTCTGGCCCACCTATAAAGGCATACATACAAACACACTTAAAAGAAAAACACATTTACCACTCACGTCTTTCCATTTCTCCCTGTCTCTTTCTCTCTCTCTCTCTCTCTCTCACACACACACCCACACACACACACACACACACACAGTGTGTGCACGCACAACACGAGTTCTTAGAGAGAAATACCTTTCTCCATGTGATGACTGGGGTAGGCACAGCCCTCACTTCACAGGACAGGCCCACCTGCGCCCCGGTGATGTTGTGAACACTCCGGGGAGGAACAATGACCACAGGAGCTAGGAGGAGGAGACAAGGCGACATAACCTTTACCCTGCTGGGTTTCAAGCAACACACCTCTAAACTCCACAGCCCACTGAGAGCCTGCTGGATGTCCTGACAGGAGGGGAGCTAGGCAAGAGTCATGCTAGGGCAGGGTGACCTCCCAAAGTCCCCCAACGCTGTCTGTGGCAGAGCCAGGGCCTCAGTGCTCCCTCCCAGGGCCCCTTTCAGGCTCCAGCTGCCATCTGCTATAGCTCAATCAACAGACACGGCAGCCAACTCCGAGAGGGGCTGGTGCCACACCACCAATGGCAGAATCTTCTAACAGATGGGCTTTTCGCCTTCCGTGTGGAGGGCGTTGGGAAGAAGAATGCCAGGCAGAACAGCTGCATACACCCTGGAGCTCAATCCCCTGCGGTCCATTCAAGATGCCCATTTGCATGCACAGAGCAAAGACTCCCCAAGACTCCCCGCTCCCTCCACCTCCTCATCCCCAGAAGTCGACCCCCAGCCTGGGCAAATCAGGTAGATGTGGTTCTAGACTGCCAGATGTGATGGAGAGGAAAGGGAGGGTGTGGGCTCTCTGGACAGGACCTGGTGTTAGACATTTCAAGACCCTACTCCACACTCTGCCTTGCTCCCTGTGCCTGGCATCTGTTCTGCTCATGCTGGGCTGGAAGAATCAAGGCCAGGCATTTCTACCTGCTCTCACCTGCACTGGACAGAAAGCTCAGCCAGCCCGGTGTCCAGCGCCACAGTGTCTTGGGCAAGGTGCAGCATGGAGGCCTGGCTGGGGAATGCTCGTACCCAGCTGTCATCTGTAAGGTGGGGATCACACCCCTGCTTCCTAGGGCAGTCGAGCTGATCTAACCACAGAATAAGGGTGGAAGTGATGGCTTAAGTTAACATGATATGCAAATGAGGACCAGGAGCAAATAGATGACTGGATGAAGAAACACATGACAAATCAAGGAGTAAACACATTTGTTTCCAGGCCACCAAACTGAAAAGTCTAGAACTCCTAGGGCTTTGCCTGGTGACTCAAGAACAGCCCTGTTGTTCTCCACAAGCCTGCACCTGGGTAAGGCTGCAATATAAAAAGAGAGCAAAGGGAGGAAGCAGAAGGCAGGAGGAAGGAGGTGAGGTACAGGGTCGCATCACACCCAAATGCACAGGAGCATCAAGGTACAGAAAGGAGACTAGTTTGGCCCCTCCAGACAGACTGGGAAGTAGACCGTCAAGCTGGTGCCAAAAATTCTCTGGGAAATCACCTTAGAGCCACAGTCTCAAACTAGAGAAGCTCCTTAGTATCCTAATTCCCCATGATTCTGTGTCTGACCATGTATGACATGCTCGCCCAGCCTCCATTTGCAAGCCTCCAGGGATAGGGAACTCCATAGGTGGCTATGGAGCCAGGCCATTCGGTCTTTGGAGGGCTCCACTGGTAAAAAAGCACATCCTCACCTAGAGCTAAAGCCTGTAACTCCCACCTGCTGATCCTAGGGTTTCCCTCTGGAGCCTCATAGCCCCTGGGTGCCCCAGCACCCCTCCAGTGAGTTGAATACAGGCTGCCCTCCCCATTCCAGGCTGCTTTCTTCCCCCTCTATCTGATCCGTCCACTCCTTCAGCTGTGCCCATCTGAGGGCCCTCTGAAGGGTGGTGCCCAACCCACTTGCCTGACTGTCACCAAAGCCCCTGGAACTGAGATTCTAGATGTCTAACATTGCCGGACAGCCACAGAGAGCCACAGCACTGAGCTCTCTAGCAGGAGCCCTACCTGTGATGACAAAGACAGTCTAATTTATTCACCTTATCCCGCCAGCGCCTCCTGAACCACATAGATGCTGGGATGCTGCCTCCAGCAGAGCCCTAACTGGTGTTCTAGTGGCTCGCTGTGGTGACAATCAGAAGGACCTGGATACCAACGGGAGACTCAATCAGTGTGGTTTACTTTTGTTCATGTAAAGTCAAATTTTAACTGATTTCATCAATCCCTTCAGGCCTAAATGAATAAGCCAGTAAGTCACAATTCATTCCTCTCTCCTCATGTTTCCATCTCTCTATCTTTCAACAACTCCAGTTAAGAAAGACTTTCTTAGAAATACTGTCTCTGTAATTGATTTTGTGGCAGAAAATACCATTTTTTTTTTTTTTACAAAAGAGGCCTTGCTTTTAAAGGGACGTCAAAGCACATTAAAGGGACATTAAATTTTTATGTATTTATTTAAAAATTTACAAAAAGCACAATTCATTCTTTCTGGTGTGCAGTTCTAGGTTTTGACAAATGGATACAGTCATGTAATTGCTACTGCAGCCAAGGTACAGAACAGTTCTGTGACCTCAAAAAATTTCATGATGCTCCTCTTATAGTAATACTTTTTTTTGGGGGGTCAGGGCCTCATCCTGTCACTCAGGCAGGAATGCAGTGGCACAATCATAGTTCACTGTAATCTCAAACTCCAGGGCTCAAGCAGTCCTCCTGCCTCAGCCTCTCGAGTAGCTGGGACTACAGGTGTGTACTACCATGCCTAGCTAATTAAATAAAAAAATTTTTTTAGAGATGGGTCTTGCTATGTTGCCCACGCTGATCTTAAACTCCTGGCCTCTAACAATTCTCCCATCTTGGCTTTCCAAAGCACTGGGAATACAGGCATAAGTCACTATTCCCAGCCCTGCTTTTAATTTTAACATGTCTGTTTTTAAATTTAAAATATTTGTATCCATAGTAGCTCTTTATGATCAATAACTATCACAGTACCAGTAATAACAGTAATTATGCCGTCAGCTAGCACAGTGCTCACTGTCTTCTGCCTACAGGTTTCACCTGTTTCTCTCTCCAGCAATCTCACCAACTGCCAGATGGTGGTGCTACCCTAGGTTACCCAGCATTAAAGGGTGCAGTGAAGAGGCAACGAGCCCAGCGCTCTGGCTCCAGAACCGAAGCTCTTCTGAACCACTGTGCTAACACCATCCTGCCTTTTCCCTAGAAGACCCTTCCAGGTACACTACCCTTTAATCCTCACGCCAGCCCTGTAAGATAGCTGCTTGCACCCCCATTTTACAGATGAGAAAACCAAGACTCAGAAAGGTGAAGTGTGTGGAGGAACAGGGACTCAAACCCAGGCACCATGATTCCATTCGCTTCCACACTGGTTTCTAAAGTGGAACATTTTTTATCTGTATGGTCTCTGTTCCAGAATAAGAGATGAGTTGCTTAGGGATTGTGTTGGGGGATCCCCAAGACAACTCTCCAGTTCAGTGATTTCCTAGGAAGACTAGGAGGACTCAGGGGACTCAGCATACAGTGGCACTCAGGCTGTGATTTATTATAGTGAAAGGATTTTCCCATCTGGCAAAATCAGCCAAGGGAAAAAGTCAGGGTGGAGGAAGCAGGCACAAGCTTCCAAGAGCCCTCTCCGTGGAGTGACAACCATGTGAAATGCTGTCCACCGGAGATGCTCAAGAGGGACTCGGTGCCCAGGGTTTCTATTGGGAGCTGGCCATAGATGCACTCTCTGCCTAACTGAGTACCAAAATTCCACACTCCGAGAAGGAAAGCAGGTGTTCAGCATAAACCACATTGTACAGTTCAGGCACAGTGAGCCACTCTCATCAATTCCGAGAATAGTGGAATCCCCTGAAATCTAAGTCCCCAGATACCAGCCAAGGGCCAACCTTGCCAGCAGGTCTTTCTGAGGATATGGTCACAGGCCTGCCACATTAGCTGTTTTTTACACAACAATGAAACACCCCAAACATCACCCTCAGGGAACAGCTCTTGTGAAGATACCCCATAGCATAAGCAATGTATCCTTGACACCAGCAGGACACTTCCAGTCCCTACTATCTCCAGGGGCTCATTCCAGCATGGCACTGGAACGTTCAATGTCAAGACTGCCACCTCAGGCAGGAAGAACAGCGTGGTGAGCAGGAGTGGAAGAGTCCAGGTTCAAATCCTTTCTCTGCCAGGTCTCAGCCTTTGCCTCAGTTTCTTCTTCTTTAAAAGGGGCCCAGGGGCCAGGTGCAGTGGCTAATGCCTGTAATCCCAGCACTTTGGGAGGCTGAGGTGGGTGGATCCCCTGAGGTTGGGAGTTTGAGACCAGACTGGACAACATGGAGAAACCCCGTCTCTACTAAAAAAAATACAAAATTAGCCAGGCATAGTGGCGCATGCCTGTAATCCCAGCTACTTGGGAGGCTAAGGCAGGAGAATTGCTTGAATGTGGGAGGTGGAGGTTGCAGTGAGCCAGCCATTGCACTCCAGCCTGGGCAATAAGAACAAAAACTCTGTCTCAAAAAAAAAAAAAAAAGGGCTCAGGAATCTATTCCCTCCCCAGCCCACTCCCCAAAGGCTGCTATGAGGAACACTTGCAAAACCCCTTACGAACTGTAAAAGACCTCTGCAGAGGGACTGGAGGACTCAGCAGGGTGTGCTGTCCCTAGGCAGTCTCCCCTAAGGTGCCTTGCCTGCATGAGACCCTCTGGCCTCAGGTGAGAGGCACCAGGGGCTATGACTACAGCCCTCACTCTGGGAAGCCAAGCACACACTGTTACTGTTGCCAGAGCTGCAGCACTGCTGGAGGCACCAGGGCTTTCCTTTCTGCCTTTGACAAGAGTGATGTGGCTTGCGGGAGGGAGGATGGCTTCTGGCTAGCCAGCCTGCAAACGTGGACACTTCATCCCCCTACAGCTCTTCCTTGCTGATACTCGTTTCCTTCTGCTTGTGCTAGAATTGCAGGGATGGCACAAATCCACCCACCCAAGGGCTAACCATCAGGTAAGACACAGATAGTCACCCAGATGCACACGGTCACAGGAGGCCATACTATGGGGTGAGCAAAACAGTACCAGAGGGAGACTCAAATGCCCGGGGGTCTGGCTGCCAACCACTTGAGCTTGGGCAAGTTGCTAATCATTTCCTGTATCTGCAATTGACAATAACCACCACAGCCTCACATCTTTGAGGTGAAGGGAGAAAATTGATGTGACTGCGTTATTAACTGTGTGGCTCTGTACAAATGAAAGGCATCAATATTGTTATTATAGTGTGTGGTGATCTGTTCGCCTACCTCGTCAGTTATATTGGTCATTGATGGCTGGAATGAAAAAATCTTCCCAAATGCCTCTGATATTTCTTTAAAGTTAATGGTGCTAGGGAAAGAAAGCGTATCAAAAGTCACCCCCCAGGACCTCATCTGCTTGTATTAAAAAGCACACAACCAAAGAGTTTAATAATCAATGCACTGAACAGCCCTGATAATTTATGCTAATAGTCACGTTATGATGTGGAATGAGAAATAGCTTAATCCTGCTCCCTGCAGCCTCTGCCTCAAATCTCCTCCCACAGCTCAAAGGCTTTTGAGCACAAGCCCCTTCTTTGTCCCCCTCACAAAGTGGCATTCACTGCCTCTCCTGGTTACCTGGTAACATGCACTAGCACAGACCTAGGTTTCTAAGTGGAGCTGGAATTTCAACCAAGGTGAATTTTCTGATTCAAGGTCTCAGGAGCTCACTGAAGCTGCCAGCACTCAATGCCCTGGCGGGTACTGGCTGGGACCCTGTTCCTATCTAATTTATCATTCAAAACATGACATTAACTTGCTGTCTGTAGGACCCCAGCCCGCTCCCAATGTTAACAAATAGGGTGCACACACTGAACACTCCAGCCTTTTAAGGTAGTGAGAGCAGTCATTATCATGACAATACTAAGGCCGTACCACTTTACCAGTGAGAAGCTGAACCAGTAATTCAGAATGTATTGAAGACCCACATATGAATAATTCTTACTGTTTCTTACTGTTGGAAATTGCTTTTTTGCCACCATCTTTTTTTTTTTTTTTTTTGAGACAGGATCTTGCTGTGTCTCCCAGGTGGAGTACGGTGGCGTGATCATAGCTCACTGTAGCCTTGAACTCCTGCACTCAAGGAATCTTCCTGCCTCAGCCTCCCAAGTAGCTAGGGCTATAGGCACATGTCATCATACCCAGCTAATTTTTAGAATTTTTTGTAGAGATAGGATCTTGCCGTGTTTCCCAGGCTGTCCTTGAACTCCTGGCTTCAAGCAATCCTTCAACCTCAGCCTCCCAAAGTGCAGAATGAAGCTTCCCACTTCGGCCTGGCACCCAAGGCTTGCAATGGCCTACCTCCGCCTTTCCCAAACATGCTACCAGGCCTCGGCCCTATCAGCCCACTTGCATATCCACCAAAGGGCTCCCACCTCTGAGCCTCAGTTCATGCTGTGCCTCCTCCTTGCCAGCCTTGGGATTCTCTCCCCATCCCTCAAGGCTCCTCTCGGGAGCTATAGCCTGGTGCTAAATAGAGGGACAAGCAACAAACCTTGGGAAAAATAGGGAGGTGGATCCAGATTGAGAAATCCTCAAGATTCAAGGCTGGCTGGTGCACAGCACCTTCCTGATCAGGTTGCTAGCAGGCTAGCCTTGAGGCACCCATCTGAAAACAGCCAGACAAGCCTACGCTGGAGCCCTGTCACAGCTGGGACCAGCCAGGTGGCTCCAGGGAATTTCTTTTCATGTACATCAGCTTTCAGTTCTATTAAATGAGAAGGAGGCCTCCCCAGGGCAGTTGTAAAAATCATGTAAAAAGATGGGTGCAGCCCAGGTATGGCATCTCATGTCTAATTTCAGCATTTTGGGAGGCTGAGGTGGGAGGAGTGCTTGAGGCCAGGAGTTCGAGGCAACAGTGAGCTGTGATCACGCCACTGTACTCCACCTGGGAGACACAGTGAGACCCTGTCAAAAAAAAAAAAACATGGATGCAAAAGCAATTTCCAACAGTAAGAATTATTCATATGCAAGTCTTCTGTACGTGTGTGCAGATCAAAGGATCGCTCTCATTACAAGGCAGTTCAGGGCATTTTAGGGCATAGGAGGAAAGGGCAGAATTTAAGCCTGAAAACTGCTTCCCCAGGCTCCTCAGAGGCGTGTATAAGGACCCTTCCCACATTGTGAGCAACGTAATACTTGCCGAGGCCTCATTCCATTAAATCTAGGTGCTTGGGAACCAAAGAGTCAGGAGGGGTGATTTTCTCACTAATATCGAAGCAGAACAGCCCCACTCTGACTCACAGTCTCTTTTCCTTCAACCAGCGTCCCCAGGGGCATTGTTAAAAAATGCTCCGGCTGTGTCTTCTGAATAAAAGATGGATATAGGATAGCACAGAATGATCTGCTGCCTGGGCTAGGAAATGTCCCCTGTCCACACCTTCATGCTTTATCCCAGACACAAGGGCAGGGACCACGCCAGCACTTCAGGACAGAAAGTGACAGGCCAGCAGTGCCTGGTTCTGTGGTGGATGACACAAAGGCTGGTGCGGAAGGAGGGCTGAACCCCAGGGAGGCCTGATGCCTGTCACTAATGAGATCATGAAAAGCCATCCTGAGTTGCTTCCCTGTGGCCCCACAAACATCTTTCTTCTCTGGGTCTGTGCCTGGGGTGGGCCTCAGAGCCCATAGATCAGAGTGGAGGGGCTGTCACATTTACTTGTCATTTGGTAATTTTCAGTGAATTAGGGGTGTGGAGTTTCCATCTGCCATCTGGCCTCACTCTGGTAACCATGGTAACCACCATCTGCCTGACTTAATGCTATCAAGTCCTGTGCTGAAAGAGTACTGGACAGGGTGTTGGATCTGGGAGCTGGTCACCCTTTACTGGTCACCCTGGACAAGGGCTCTGACCTTGCTGGGTCTCCATCTCTTTCTCTGAGTAACAGCAGATTTGGTCTGAATGTCTTTAAGGTGCCTTTCTCTTAGGAAGAGAATGCCACTCTGGGGACAAATAAGCTGAGACCGTCAGCACCACTTAGAGTATGGGGACCTGGTCAGCATTTCTTATGTCTCCTGCATGTGGCATTACAGTGTTACCTGTCTGGAGACAAAGAGAATTGCTTGTGAATTAAATGCTGAGGAAAGCAGATTATAAAAAAGAGTGATAGGAACTAGCAAAAGGAAAGAGACAGGTCTGTTTAAGTGCCACAGGGCGGAAACAAACTGTTCCAAGTGAAAGGGACCTCAACAGTGACTCCACTGTGGCTGATACGGCCAGAGAGGGGAAGGGACCCATCCAGGGCCACTCAGGGAGCCAGCAGCAGCACAGAGGCACCCCCAGCCACCTCTGTCCTCCATGGGGAGTTTCAGCTAGGAACAGTCAATGGTGATTTTTCTGTGCCCGACCAGCCACACCCTGGTTTTACGTTTCCCAGGACAGGAGGCTTCCCGCCCCATCTCCAACAACCCATTGCATCTCCTGGACTCGGGTACATCTACCTGAACTACTTGAGGGGAAAGACTACTAGATACTTCATAAGGCTTAGAAAGGTCTTACCCCACCCTAAGCTTCTTTCTTGAAGCTAAGTCATTACACTGACTTAGGCTCTGAAGTCTGGACTTGGTCGCTGGGCTCAGGCCAGAATTATTTCCTAGAAGCCTGAACCCCAGGCCAAAAGCCAGGCTCTTTGGGACTCACTTGCCACCTCACTCACCCTAAACTCGGCACTGTTCGCTCCATACAGGGTACATATGAGCGCTTCTCCAAAACATAATGGGTAGGCTATGCTCATGCTTAGGAAGCTGGTAAAGCAGGGGGCTTCACTGGACATCCCCGTGCTAATGTTTTGGTTTCTTTTTGTTTGGTTTTCAAAAGGTACATAAAGAGGGTGTGCAACTATGGCACTCAGAGATGATTTTACTGTAATGTTAATGAAGCTTAAGTTTCTAAGTCACTAGCATTTCATAATAAGTTTCTAAGTCCCTGGCAGTTCTGTTCCTTTACTTAAGGCAGGACTCTCCAAATTATGTATGTTTTAGAACAACGAGACCCGGGTCTGCCCGGAAAGTACCACAATCTTTTCAGATCTTAGGTATCCAAAGGTCTCACTTATTCCTGGATGGAGCTCCCTCAGCATCCCAGGTCAGCCCCATCCCACACTTGAGGCCCTGGTGCTCTGGTGCTATGGCCTGGTGACTCCTGAGTCCCCACTCTGGAACTCATCCTCCTCCCCCATCCTCAACTTCCCTTCCTCCCCATTCAAACAACCTAACGGTCGCTGGATACCTGGGAACTCAGATCCCCCTCCTTAACTCCCAGTCTCCTGCAGGGCAAACATACCATGCCTACAAATAACTGACTGCATCGCCAAGTACTTACATACCAAAAGGGGCAGCAGGCTCACCAAAATTTCGACTACTACGGTGAGGGGCGTCTCCAAGGATTCTGGCCCCAGTCTCTCTGAGCACGAGGAGAGATAAGAAATACTGCTCCTGAAGGGGAAACTGAGTCCCAGGCAGCGCCATCCGCCACTGGGCAGAGGGGTCCTCCACTCCACATCCCAGAAGGTTAGGGTCTCCTCTTTTCTACCCACCCGAGACCTGACCCCGACTCACCGAACTCGCAAGGGCCATCGCGCGCCTTGTGCAGGTGACCGAAGTGCGTGCGGGGAGCGTGCCGGGCGCGCAAGCGCAGCGCGCAGACGCTGGGGTACGAGCGGCCGTCGGAGCCGCAGACAGCGCCGCGCTGCGCGCACACGCAGAGCCCGGTGCCCTCGGGCGCCGCCCCCGCGGCCCGGCTCACGCACACCAGGCCGGGGCCACAGCGCGCACCGGCGCGGCCCCCGCAGCTCGCGCCCTCGGCTCCCAGGCAGCGCACGCAGCAGCCGCACTCGTCGCGCGCCGAGATCCCGGGCGCCGGGCAGTGGGCTGGCGCTGGGCAGCGTTCGGGCCGGCACGGACCACACTCGGGGCGCCGGCCGCCCACGTCGCGGAGCCCGAGGCTCCAGGTCAGCGGCGGCAGAAACAGCAGCGGCAAGAGCAGCGACAAGCGCGGCATAGCTTGCTCCGGGACAGCGACGGCGCCTCTGCTTTGCGCTCTGCTCGGCGCCCGCCGCGCAGCCACCGCTCCCTCCCCGCGGCCGCTGATTGGCCGGGCCCGCACCGCGGGGCGCCCGCAGACCGCTGCCCGGGCCCGGGATCAGCGCGGTGCCTGAGGCCCGGGGCTCCGAGCTGGAGGGACGCCCCGAGAGCAGCTCTCCGACCTCTGTCGATTGGACTGTTGGGGAAACCGAGACCCAGTGGGGGCGGAAACTTGCTCGAGGTCGCTGTAGTAGAGTCAGGATTGGATAACCGTACGGTCTCCGGATCCAAGGCTGGCTGCAGATAGTAAGCCCGTAAATCCTCACAGAAGGATGCGTTATTTAATTTAACTTTATTTTGCATTCAGTAGTTTTCAAAGTTTTATTTTATAAAGAGAATATATGGTTTAAAATGTCAGATTTTACATATACACCTAAGGATGAAAAGAGGGTTTCCCTACCACCTTGTATCGCAATCCTCCAGCTAGGCTTCCAGAGGCCACTCTTATTATCGGCTTTTTGTGTATTTTTTCAGAAATGTTCTCTATGCCTATAAAAGCACATGTTCCTGTAAAAGCCCCTTTAAAGCACACACACTGTTTCTCTCTCACACACAGTAGTGTGGCATACACCTTAGTCTGGACTTGGTTTTTCCACTTAGAATATTTCACAGTTTCCCCACCTCTTGTCATCCCTGAAACTGGGTTTCTCCTACAATTAATGGGAGTGTAGTTCATTGGCTCTGTGAGTGTGTTTCTTAATGCTGCATTAAGTCATGGTGCATCTCCGTTCACAGTGACTTTGTTGTGATGAGATACGTTTATATATTCTGGAGTTCATATAGAGTGGCCTTTGCACAGTGTTTAGTTGCAGTTATTTAACCAGTTGTTTTCCATCCTTTTGTTGATACGAATAACGCTCCGATGAAGTCTTGGTGCACAAGGGTCAGTGTATCTGTGGCTTAGTGGGGAATGCCTGTTGGAAGGACTCAGGTTCTTACAGTCAGTTATTCATGCCGCGCCTCTGCGCCTTCTCTCGGCCAGGCTCTGTGCACCCATCCTGCCTAAGTCCTGGCAGGGGACCCAGACGAGAAACCTAAGAGTCATGGCTGCTGGGATTTGATGTGTTGCCAGGTAAAGGCATGGGATGGAGGGAGGGACTCGCTGACCAGGTTTTTTGGGAGACTTTTCCCGCCTTCACTGGCCACCCCTCATTTGCCTTGTGCTCTATTGTTTTTTCTTTGCTGAACTCCTAGAGATGCAGAAAGCCTCTTGCCGCCTGGGAAGACCAGCTACAGCATTTTTGTGCAGGGTTCATTTTGCTTTTCAAGCCCAGTTCCTTCTCGGTTTGCAGGCTTCTGGGAGATGTTCTTATACCCAGAAAGAAGCCTTTTCTGAGGTCACTTTATTTGGTGGTCAGAGGAGGTCGTCTGCCTGGTCCACGCCAGGCCTTACATTACAATCAGCCACACAGAGCAGGGATGGTCGGGCACCCTGCAGGGGTGGTGGGAAGGAATAAACATAGCAGCGTTGGTAATGCACTCAGCGCAGCTCTCACTAACGATGATGATTTTCAACCTGGAGGCTGCTGTCTTTACCGGGAGTGGTCTTTTAAAGTGCTCTCACCCCTTGACCCCTCCGTGTGCTTCTATGAATGTTTCCTAAAAAGATGATCACTGTGTGTGAAAATTTTGTCCTACAGTTGGTCACTATGGCAAAAAATTGTAAACCACCTAAATGCCCACTGAGAACATTCATAAATAAATTATGATACATCTAACAATAGAGGATTATGTAGGCATTAAAAATGAGAAAGAAGATATGGGTTAATAGAAATGAAAACATGTTTATAATATAGTATTTAGTAAAATAGCAATTATGAAATGCACATCTAGTGTAGTAGGATATTTGTAAATATGTGAATATGTAAACATGCAAAAATTTAAGATTGTCTAATGATGTGAAGGAAACACTTAAAAAACAGAGAGAGAGAGAGATGCTATCTCATTCTGTTGCCCAGGTTGGAGTGCAGTGGCATGATCACAGCTCACTGCAGCCTCAACCTGAGCCTCAAGCCAGCCTCCCCCACCCCCCAGCCTCCTGAGTAGCTAGGACTACAGGTGAGCACCACCACCCCTGGCTAATTTAAACAATTTTTTTTTCTTTTTTTTAGAGATGAGGTCTGTTAAATGAACAAAGCAGGATTTGCAAACAAAAGAGATAAGCAAACTCCATGCTGCTTTTCAGGGACAACCTTCCTGATAAGTTCAAATTTTCTAACGGTTCATAGTTGTCCAAAGAGAGATTAGGCCGCTCCAGAGGTAGTGAGGTCCTTGTCAAAGGAGTTTAAGAAAGAATCTTGGCAAGGAGCATGGAGGAGGTCAGAGAATTGGGGTCAGGGGAGTTGATCTTTAATTACCTCAAACTGAGCCACCATTCCTGAAGTACAGTGCCTGACCTTGAGACTTGGACTGTTCAAAACATGGTCATGATTGAGAAATAAATGTGTACAGAAATGATAGGCCTGCTTTTTATGCAGACATTAAAGGAACGATAAGTGAACAGTGTCACTATAATGAAACTAATGTGTACTTAATGCAGGTTAGGATACACCATCTCACAGAGGTACATTTACGTATGATCTACATTCCTTTTAATGGTAGGGCGAGCATTATGTATGCATAATGACTCTTTGAGAATTGAATCAGAAGACTCATTTTCTAACACTCAACCTGTGGCATCAAAGCCCCTGTATCTGGGTGGAGAAAACATTCCAAGGCTTTGAAGGTGATCAGTTGTGTCTATTTCCTTTTAAAATTGCCCACAAGTCCATAGCCCAGCAGATGCATTAGTTCTTTCCATCTCTTTGGTTCTCAGGGTACCAGTTAACACTGTGGGCCACACCTGTGGGCCCCCTAAGACAATAGGAGAAAGTAGGGACAAATTCTCCAGTCAGGAAGGGGGTTGAGGTGCCTCTGTTGTCTGGCAGGTGGAGAGATCCCACACATGCGGGTGAGTAATCTGGCAACAAGGATGGGTGTGATTTTCTCCTCTTCAGCTTCCAGACTGAACACAAACACAACACAGGGGAGACTAGCCAATGCCCCATCCAGAGCAGGTGTATGCCCACCCAGCAGCTGCTGAAGTGGACATGAATGTCCTATCCATTCATTCCTTTCTTGAACATAGAGATAAGACGTTCTCTGTCCTTGGGGAGCTTCCAGCACAGAGGAAGAGAACAGGAGCTCAGGTGAGCAAAGGCCACTCCGTAAATAGGCCAGGGATTTGAACCTCAAGCTTAAACAGTCAGTGCAATCATAGATGGTCTTCCTCCCAGCTAAAGGAAGGTGAAACCCCTGTCTCCAAACCTCTGGTGGGCCATTACAGAGCAGAAGGTGAGGTGGGTTTCTAGAGGGAAATTCCCTAAACGACGGGTGAGATTTGTAGGGAGACAGATTTCACTTCAATACTGTGTGCAAGGGGATGTAGCAAGATATAGAGCCCTGCAAAGATGGGAATTCAGATACTGAGCAGCCAAAAAAGAATGATAGAGGATTTGCTGTTGTGTTATAAACCATTATATAACCCGGACAAATTAAGGAAAACAGCTGTGGACAGGCACTGGACAGTGTTCTAATACAGGGCTGTGATCCTCGAGAGGGACAGGGGGCACACAATGTGAGCCCCACATCTACCCAAGCTTTCTCCCTGAGGACACTTTCCAGGCCACTGTGCAGGGAGGTGGAGGCCAAGCGGGTCATAGAGGTCTCACTGGACAGAAGAGGCAGACATCAGAATTCAGGACTAAGGCAGAGATTTGGGGATCTCGGACAGAAAATGAGGAACTGCAGAGAGGGAATCCCAGAAGTCTTAGACGTTCAGCTGACCCTGTACCGCACAAGTACAGGATAAGACTTGAGGGCCTGGTAGAGAGTAGCTGCTGGGAGGTGAGAGCTGAGCAGAGATTTGGGGCTCACACAGTGCTGATGACATTTTGGAGTTGCACAGACCTGCAGAGGTCTGAGTTTGAGCTCCAAGGACCCCTCCTTGCTGCATCTAAGTTTTAGTAATTCCAACCATTCCCGTTGTTCTCCTAGCCCTAATGGTGGTAGCTACTTCACAGTTGCTACCTCTAAGTTACCTAGTTAATTCTTCTTTTCTTTTTTGAGACAGAGTCTGGCTCTGTCACCCAGGCTGGAGTGCAGTAGCACGACCTTGGTTCACTGTAACTTCTGTCTCCTGGGCTCAAACTATCCTCCTGTCTCAGCCTTCTGAGTATCTGGAACTACAGGCATATGCCACCATGCCTGGCTAATTTTTGTATTTTTTTTTTAGAGACAGGGTTTTGCCATATTGTCCAGCCTGGTCTTGAACTCCTGGACTCAAGTGATTTGCCCACCTCGGCCTCCCAAAGTACTCAGATTACAGGCATGAGCCACCATGCCCGGCCAATAATTCTTTGTATTAAATTCCATTTGTAGGCTAGGCACAGTGACTTATTCCTGTAATCCCTACACCTTGGGAAGCCAAGGTGGAAGGATTGTGCCAGGAGTTCGACAGCCTGGGCAACACAGTGAGACCTCTTCTACTAGCAAAAACATAAAAAGTTTGCTGGGCAAGGTGGTACACACCTATACCCAGGAGACTGAGGTAGGCAGGCCACTTGGGCCTTGGAGTTCAAGGCTGTAGTGAGCTATGACCAGGCCACTGCTCTCCAGTATAGGGAACAGAGCTGTTGCCTGCCTGAAAAAGAAAAAAAGAGAAATGAATTCCGTTTGTCATCTGCCTAGGCCTGAGTGATCTAGCTACTAGAGCCAGGAGTGGTCCCAGGAAACAACTGTCAAAGATGGGTCAAAATCAGAGAACTAGAAAGCTTAACTACAAATAAGCTTCAAATGTAATATAAATTATTTACTTAAATGATAAATAAGAAATGTATTTCTTGCAGCTACAGGGTCAGTATTGTCAAAAATGACACAAAAAATGTAATTGTGTGTGCTGCATAATTATAAGTTGAATTCACAGCCTTGCCAGTCTCTTACGTGGAAGTTAGGGAGTGAGAACCTGAGAGTTGGAATTGGGAAATCTGAGTGGACTCAGATGAAGCTGAGATTCCTGAACCCTTGCGTTATTCTGTGCTTCCTTTGCCAGTGGAAGCTGCTTGCCTGTCATGTCTAAGAAGACTCACTTTCCCTCGCTTAAGGACCCTGTGTTAAGATTGCCACCAAAAGAATGGCAAGAGTTTGCTGCATGACATTGTAGAAACCTGGAGAATATGCATGCATAGATTCTTAGGGTGTGAGACTAA